ATCTACAAGAACATTATGTAGTTGGAGAAGCATAAACTCACTCTTCTGTTCAGCATTATGAAGTGCACGTCCCACCTATATTTACATATATATATAGTGTTAACAAGGAAATATTTATCATTTATAGTTTCTCACTTTGTCTATCTATATTTACATGCTATTTTTAAACCAAAACTTTGCTTGACATTGTTTTATTTTGTACTTTTTAATTTTTTTTGAGTTTTGCAGTTTTACTGTTTTTCCTTACTGCGTTCTATTTGAAAAAATTGCTTACAGAATATGGTTCAAACCTGATCAGTCGTAAATGTTATTTCAGCACTGGAGTCACAATTCCAGAATACGCAGTTGAAGATTAAGAATATAAATTCTATTTGCAGTATTGCTTTCATTTTATTCAAGAGATAATTTTTTCTTTTTAGAACGAATATAACTTTCTTTTTGAAATTATTTTTTGCTAAATATTCTTTCAATAATTATTAAGGATTGAAATGAATTTAAAAAAGGATAAATTCCAAAATATAAAAATACCAATGTGGCAGCTGACAATTTAAAAAAATAGTATTCCAAGAAAGCAGAAATTATATTCACAAAAGGCCAGATATTGAAATCAAAAAATTGACTTCAAGGGAATAAATGATTTGCTTAAATTTCTTTTAATTCTTCATCAGATATCAGTTTTAAATGATGTAATGAAAGGGAAGGATTCACAGAAATATTCACTGTTAGCAATGGATGTTTCTGCGGAGAAATCCAAAAAGTAGTCAAGAGCTGATTTTTAATTACAAAGACTTTGTAAAGAGCGTAGAAAGTTTATATAGTAACGTTTGCACAACAAACAGACGAGATTATGCAAATAAGGAGTATCTGATTAGAAACGTGTGATGAATTGCATGTGATCATCTGATAAGTACTGTTTTTTTCATTTTATCTAAATTTAGTCACGACCCTCAGGTATTTTAAACACATTTTTGAGTGCCATGTAGCGAAATCACATGCAAACTCCGTGCTCTTCGATCTTTTCCTATCCCGAACATCTAAATTTGGTTATCCAAACTGTTTTTGCTATTCGCAGTGGTTTTTTTATTTATGTCATCCAGCCAATAATTTTCTGCTTTTTATTGAAAAAAGGAAGTTTAAGTGATTAAAATGATTTTGCAATCCTGAATAAATACAATTTAATTTTAAATTTATGCTAAAACTCATTTTTTAGCTGGGCAGATATATTTGTTATTAATTTCAATTGTTCACCTCCAAGACAGACAAAAAAGTAAGGACAAATTTTCAACGCTTTACTCAAATATTTTGATTGTTTTTCCATTTTCTAAAAATATTTATGTAGAATTTCATGTGAACAAAAGTTTGTTTTAGAAAGCTTTAAACAACAACAAATTAAAAATTCGCATTTGAATTTCAGTAGCTGAAAATACCAATTCCTGTCGTTTTTTACTTATGACAATAATAATAAATAATAATAAATAATTAATTAATTAATTTATTATTATTTATTATTATTGATATTGACTGGTTTATTAAAATCAGTCAATATCACACGGTTATCCTTCTTTTCTTCATTATTGATTCTGGCGCTGGATCGTAGTCTGGCATTCTCA